ATAGATAGATAGATAGATAGATAGATAGATAGATAGATAGATAGATAAAAATCTGGGTTTTATTTTAATAGGAATTTCTGAACATTCCAGTCAGACTTTTCATTGCTGTGACAAGTGCCTGAGAAAAAAACAAAGGGAGGAGCTACTGCTTCTGGATCACAGTTTCAATCCACTGTAGGCCGACCTTGTTTCTAGGTCGTGATGAGGCAAGGGATGTGGCAAGGTCAGAGCCAGCAGCTCACTTCAGATTGGACAGGAAGGAAAAAGAAAAAGGCAGAGAACAAGAGATGTTTTCTGCAGGGTGTACTCCCTGTGAACCTACTTCTTATACCCAGGCCTCCCTCTTACAGGTACCACCTCTCCGTGATACCGTCAAATCAGGAATCCAGCGCAAGAGTGATGTAGTGGCTCGGTGGGTAAAGGTGCTTGCCTCCAAACCTCGAGACCTGAGTCCAGTTCCCAGGACCCACACAGAGGAGGGAGAAAACCAACTCTTGCAGATCATCCTCTGACTCCATACATGTGAAGAAGTAGGGCACACACGGACACCACACACACACACACACACACACACACACACACACGCACAAGAGTAAATGGAAAAGATATGAATCTATTAGATTATTCCATTGATTAGGTCAAAGCCCTCAGAATCCAGTCACTTTTCACAAGCCTGTCACCTGACAGCAACACCCAGTGTATGAGGGAGCCTGTGGGGACATTTCATATTCAAAGATGCTGAGAGTTGTTGGGGCAGGGGAAGAAGATGGCAATGAGACTGGTAGTGACTTCTGAATCCCTGTCCTTCCTAATGCCAGAAGGAAAGGGTCTCTGTGACAGCAAAGCCGTTGAAGTAGATTATATAAGATCAAAGGGAAAGAGAAACAGAACAGGGCTGTCACCCTGGGCAGGTCATAGATCTAGCAGAACTCAGTGCTCCTTACTGGGAAGGAAGTAAGGACCATTCAGGACCAGGAACTGAGGGGCGAGTGGAAGAAGACACTGTTCTCGGTCCACTGGGCCTGTGGAATGAAGGGATTCTAGTATGACTTCCTGGATTCTTCCAAGAACCAAAGAAACTGAACTGAAATCCAGTCTTCCTGTTCAGGCTGCCGTAAGTACTTCTCCTTTGTGAAATCATTTCCCAAAACCCAAATCATTCCCAACCAAGGGTCCTGGCCTTTTCTCCTTTATCCTATACCCAGGTGTCCTCACCAACTACCCTTCCTATCACTAAGGAACATAGGTTGCTCTAGATGGAGCGGTAGCCTCGTGGGAGGAACAGCAAGGAAGACACGCTAGGTCAGGACATCTGAGAGCAGGTTTCCTGCCCTGCCTCTCACAGAGCCACGTCTGACCTCACTCACCATAGGAGAAGTCTATCCATGAGCCCGGATGAATGAGAGTCTTTTGGAGTTTCCTATCTTAGAGTTAACAGATATTTTCTTGTTCTCCTCTGGACCCACATCACCATGAATTTGTTTGTTTGTTTGTCTGTTTGTTTGTTTGATTTTTAGAAGACTTGAGAAAGCCGTAGAAGCTGTGTTTGAGTCTAGTGTGAGTTCTTCAAGGGACTCCCTGGGTTTTCTCTCACATCAGCCAGCTTTGCTATGGGCACTGGGAACCACGGCAATTTGCATAGTTCCTCTAAGCATCTAAATGGATACCTTTCAGGTTAAGCAAATGAACTTGACACGGTGGGTGATTGCTTCTAATGATTTGTAACCCACGAAATTTGTTTAATAAGCCTCTCTTCCCAAGCTATTCTGTGACATTAGAGACCATTTACAACAAAGCTGTCTTCAGTAGTCAAGCTTAATCCTTACTACCCTGCCTTTGGGAAATGAAGGGATTTTATAACGATCACATAAAACCTTATGTGATTTGAAAGCCCCGAACTCTGGACAAACGTGCAGTGGTCGTGTAACAAGAAACACGTTAAGAGCTCCCCACTTGACGTGTTTTACATACAGGCTGCCTTTACAAAAGCATTTCCAGTGGTGAGCTCTCGATTAAGACAATCGATTTTCTCTGTCTTGGTGTTCTTGGCATCAGAGCGTCTGGCCCCGGTGAAGCCTGGATCTAGTAGAAATGAGGCTGGGAAGAAGCCTGGAAGGGACAGAGGACCATTAGGCCCAGAGTAGGTACCATCTGACTACAGCTACACCCTTGTCCCATGCTGGTTCCTATTGATTCTTGGCACAGCTAAGGGCAGCAGGGTATCATTGCAGCAGAAAGTACACACACAGATGGGCAGCGTGGTGTGAGAAGACGGCCTCCTTAGCCCTTGCTGTTCTACAAAGAGGCAAAAATCATTTTGCTCAGGAGCCCATGGGAGTTTCTGTTACCATCTGGAAGCCCTTCAGTCTTTGGTTGGGTTGGGGAAGGCAAAGAAAGGGTTCTGCCAGTGTATAAAGGAGGCAGTCCAAAGACCCTTTCAAGACTTTGCTCTTTTGGTGGCCTGGTTGGTGGAAATCAAAAATTAAGGAGACATGTTGCAATTCTGTGGAGCTCATGGTTGAGTGGTCCATGAACACGGAAGTATGTGGGGGTCAGGTGGAGCAGTGGGCATCTCCTTGGAAACATGAGGGGACTCTCACTGTGGCCAGGCTCCTTCTCTAAGTTCTTCTCTCCAGCCACTGTGTGATCAGCTCTATGCAGTGGGTGT